AGCGATGCCCTCCCTTAGTAACCTTGATGTGGCCGCCTCCAGCGATGTCTGAGCAGATCTTAGCGCCCTTGATAGTCTCTCGCTTAGAGACGTCTTGTCGATGAGGGATACGATTATGTATCTTAGCCATCTTCCCCATGGAGCATTCTTCGCACAGCTTATGCGGAGGAACGTCCTTCTGGAGCTTATCAGCCATAACGGCGTCAATCCCAGTAGCAATTTTGGAAAGCTTCTTGACGTCTTGCATACCCAAATGGCCAAGGCGTCGGTGCCATTCATCCCAGGAAGCATGATTTGCTGGAGGCTTCTTAGAAGATCTCAGCGCCTTTGCGCTGAGTTTCAATGTGCCTTTTATTCCTGTTTCCCAAGGATTAGCTCATGCAAACGGCGCAGTATTGGCATTATATGATTGGGAACGAGACGGAAGCGGCGATTTAAACGGAAGAACAGGGGCATAAGACGAGGGATATAAAGACTATTGCGAGGATAATGGCGGAGTTACTGAAGAAAAATGGGGAGCGGAAGAAGGTGGTAATTGTTATGCAGGGGACTGATGCAATTGTTATTGCGGTGCAAGGTGAAGAAAGGGTCAAGGAATTTGAGGTTCATGCTATCGAGAAGGTGGAGATTTGTGATACAAATGGTGCTGGGTAAGTGCATGTCTTTGAGGGGATAGGGAGGACCTGCTGACAGGTTTCGATATTAGTGATGCATTTGCAGGTCGCTTTCTCGTAGGTGCGGTTGAGGGCAAGTCACCTAGAAGAATCGGTTGACATGGGTCATTGGCTTGCCAGTCCGAGTATCAGGGAACTGGGTCCTCAGTGTGTCCTTCCCTTGACCACGAAGTGCGCCTTCCAGTGCACTTCAAACCCACATAATCAAGGGCCTGCACCATTCTTGCACTGGCTCCACGGAAGCCCAAAAGCAAGTCGTGCACATCCAGCTGATATAATTATCCTTCTCATAGATGCCCGTTCCCCAAGAAGGCGTACCAGTCTGGCGCGACATCTTCTTAAAGTGTTTTATGATGCATAGCGGTGGCCGTTCAGGTTTCATCACCTCAAAGCGCCTTATGGGCCGGAATTACTGCATCATCATCATGCAATGAATGAGTTGACGGACGAACGGATCTTCATCCTCCAAAAGAATGGCCTTTTTTGAAGCCATACATAGAGCATAGAAAACTGCACTGGGATACTACTTTTGCCGATCACGTGTCTGGCACCGCCGTCTTCTTCGCTTTTTCTTCATCCGCGCCCTCCGGTGGGCTGCGCACAGCTCACTTGGCGGTGACGGTGCGGTGCACTAAAACCTTTCAAGCGGGATGGTCGGTTGACGATACGAGGTCTGGACTTTGGAGGGGAGAAAAATGTGTTTCGCAGGCTTTTAAGAAACTTTGGAATTGAACGTGACGACCGGAGAAGTTCGTCTATCCCGCTGGACGATAAAGCACGTCCAGATGCATGAAGAAGGGGGTTTTCCTAACTCGAACAATTTGCAAGATTGTTCAGCTCGAGACCATTAGATGAAGACCTAAATAGTAATCTGCCCCTACTTCCCGGTCGCTGATATGGGCGCCGCCGCTGCCGACAGCCTCCCGTCCTCAACTGTAACGCAAGGGACGCTTCTATGGAAATTGGAGTCCTACTACTCTCATATCTTGACCTACCGTATCCGATGCAAAGCGCACTTTACGCTCAGTTTATTGAGCACAAGGAAATCAACCGCAGGCCACTGGTGAGGGGCTGAGTCTAGGTCGAGGGAATTCTGAGCCAGGCAACAGTGTTTACGAATATTGTTGAAATAATGCAAGGAGCTATAGCTGGGTACGAGGCAGCCAATTCAGGCTCTCCTGTGCTGTGCCCACATGCTGCGCCCCCGTGCTCCTTTGGTGCTCCCCCCTGCTCCCCCGGTGCTACCTCTAAAGCGGCCCCGCTCCATTTTCTGAACGAAAACGGTAATCGCCGATCCTAAGTTCGGGGTGTATACAATACATACATATAAATAGTTTCCCCGAAATGAGAGTAGCACGTGACCTATTGCTGACTCAGGCGTCGCCGCTTTGCTCGCGCGCTAACGGCCGTTTCGTCCTTTTGCTCCCCCTCTGCTCCCTCATGCTTCCCCCGTGCTCCTTCTGTGCTCTCCCGTGGTCCCTCTGTGGTCCCTCTGTGGTCCCTCGTGCTCCCTTGGTGCTCGCTTTGCGGGTCCCTCAACACAGCTAAAACAATGCCACACTTCGTGATCGGTTATTTGAAGGCAGAGCAGAACCAGCAGCCCCAACGACTGATGGAAGCCTTTTTGAGCCGCCGATCAGGAAGGCGTTGTACCCCGAGCCACTTTGCTAGGCCTACAACTCTCGAAAGTTGTCCTTCACCACAATCAAACTTCCCTAGTCCTACATTCACACCTGTCATGGTTGGAAGCAGAAGCTAGAAGGATTCTCTGCTCGTAGAAATACCGACTTGTGGGACTGCCGCGATTTGGCTTTTACGGAGAGGAACAATTTCTCCGGCATTCCGTGCAACGAGTTTGCATGTTTCGGTTGTGTGGAATCCTCACCTTTATTGTGGACGATGCGTAAAAAATCAGAAGGAGCTCAAGTTGAAAAGACATTGGAGATGTTAGTGTCTAGTCAAGTTTCTCATGCCATTGGCTTGGACTGGGTTGATGACTGTCGAGACCCGACTTCTCCTACGAATGTAAATCACAGTGAGAAATTGTGACATGATACTGAAGTCCAATAGTCTTCTTTGTCGTGCGCAGCTTCGTAACCCAATTTTACTGTCTAGAAATTGACATGGCTCAAGTGTTGATCAATTATGATTCAATGCCTCTCCCAGTTCGTTGCAGTTCAAATAACGTATTTTTTTTGGCGATGGCTGCTGCAGTCCATCAACACTTACTAGAGTATCCGGCCCGATGTGGATATGCCAACCTTATTTGCTACGTTATTCACACGATGCATCACAAAGAAGGACTCCTCCAGGTTTCTAAGACCACTTGAACCTCTCTTTCCTCAGCACTTTCTCTCCTTCAACATCTTCACTGAATTTAATATCGTTGGTTTGAGCATAGCAACTCTATAACACACCAGGTTCTCTCCTTATACTCCTTACTTCTCACTCTTACCCCATTCGCTAGCTGCGCGTTAGTGTCAAGGTAGGTGACTAAGCTCTCAGACTGACACAGCTCAAAGGAATCAGGCAAGGATTCCGAGCATATTCGAATTTCTCCGCTGCTCCTGACATCTACTTAGCATGGCTTCAGCGCAGGCAGCGGAGGATCGAAGGCATTTGGAACAAATAAGAGATGCAAATCTGCCTACATGGGCGCAGAGAAAGAAGTGCACTGGAGCTTGGTTATCCAGAATTGCAGCCGGTGACACCGGACGCCGTCAGGCAACTAAGATACTGGATCCTATCTTTCTTCTAGAACATCTATTAGAGCTCTTGCCATCTCGTGCTCACCAAAAATACCAAACGTTGTTGAGCGGTCGAATGGGTCAGAAATCAGATACTCGACTGTCTAAGACCTGAAGTGTTTGAGTTCTATACATTGGGAAGGTTCGATACAGAATCGTACGTATTAATTCATCTGGGTCTTATACATCCCAACTAAGTACTCATAAGTTGGCCTCAATTGGTGGGGATCTGACTTTGACCAGCTCGGCTATCTACCTCGATATCCTCTGGAGGAATAACGATCTCAAGAATTTTATCTTTATGTTGGACAGAGTATGCAGCTCTCACATCGATTAGCCCAGCACAATAGTCCACGCTTCCGCAGCAAATACCCTAGCCTGCATTATCACGTTATGGAATTAGAAAACATAGACTCCGAGTTCGTCGTCTTAACATCGAATTTCCCAGCCGAAGGCGAATACCAGTCTAGCCTTCTTAACATCATCGAGATGTTAGCTTGCCTAGTTTTTCAGACACTCGACGCTAGAGACCTTCGAAAATACCTTCCTGAAGAGGTGGAGGTACCTCTCGCACATTTTGGGCTCAACATCGCGCTTCCCTTGTGGCAGTCGTCCCCAGAGAAGAGGCCAATGAACATTTGGCATGGATACGAATCAATTTCTTCGCCAGGGTCCTCCAATTCAGGCTCTGAAGGCTCTCCTGGGTTCTCTCTACATGAGGTACACACCAAAGATTATCACAAAACTCTTCGGGAACGTTTTCTCAATCTCCGCTCTTCTTCCAATCCCAGCCATCGAGTTTATTACTACGGCGTAACACGGAAGCAGAACCTTGCAGCAAGCGCAGCAAGGAAAGCCAAGACTCTACAAGGGGCTTTATTGGAAGCGCCTAGGGAAGTCAAATCCTACCGTTGTCAGACCCACCCTGGAGAGTTTGCTACTCGGTATTGCATCTTTCTTGGGTCTTTCTGTCTTTGGTTGCCAAGCAGCTTGCCAGCCTTGTTAGAGGATAAGATATACTTCAAAGTTGAGATTTCTCAAGGACAATCTCACCTAAGCCTATACGCATACAAGGCAACGCCATCCGACCCAGCCCTACGATTGGGTATCCATATTACCAGTACGGGTAGGACTGATCATACTGTTTCGTTCTGGCTACGATCGAGAGGGCAGCAGAACGTCTTGAAGATGAACACACTGGTAGACGAGTTCGAAGGGATTCCAGAGGAAACGACCAAACAAATGCCACGTCAGCGGGTAGCTAAAAATTGGACTCAAGGAAGGGAAAAGCCAAGTCACACGTAATCTAACAGAAAGCATGTGATTAATAGAGGTCAAGGGCAAGCATGTCAGGTGTCGAAAGTCTGTCAAGCAGGTATTGGAGTTATATCGAAGGAATGGATCGGTATGCGTCATATTAAACACGTAGGGTCTAGGGACAAAGGATAGGATCATACCTCATACCTAGAAAGCATACAAAAATAATTTCTTGATGCTAGAGCGATGTCGAAGGATTATATAGTGTAGAAATTTGAACCATTAATGCGTAGAAGTCCAAAGCGAAAATAGCCAAAAATAATGACCAGACTGAGGCTCGAACTCAGGACCTTGTCCGTTCTTAGCGAGAAACTGTTAAGGACACTTGCCGCAGATTAGAAAAGTCTTAATCATGAAAGCGTAGGAAGCGAACCGTGATAACCAACTACACCATCCGGCCACCACTGGTATAAAAATATTAATAAGATAATATATACTCTAAAATTCAATAACAAATTGGGCGATTAAACATATCACTAATTAAACATATCACTACAAATCGACCCTATGTCTTGATTTCTGAATTTTTACGTTGTTTTTGACGTAACAATATTGCTTTACACAGCTTTCGTATATGGCCTGACGTGTGTTGGCGCGAATTCATACCTTTTGAAGGCTGGCTGTTTTCGTGCTCAATACACGTTAAGCCCGTCTACATCAACAGGCAACACTAAAATATGTTTATCGTCGACAGTCCTTCAGATCAAGCTGTATACATACAAAGGCTACAAGATCCTTCCTTCTTACTGTAGCGGGGCGGTTCCGCTGCATTCGGTCTTGCCGTGCTATTGATAATGCGATAAACAGAGCCTTAGAGGAAGGAAAAGGGTTAGCAGACGGTACATTAGGGGGCACACAGGTGTTATTACAAATCCAAAGCTCGTATACTTGATTCATTGACAGCGAGATCAATCAGAGCATCTGGTTGGGCGAGCATTGGTCATCCCAAAGGGAGAGGCCGGAGTAGTATGAAGTAATCAATCAATCAATCAATCACAGGCGGCCTCGGTTAGCAAAATAAGTTTCTAATGGGGGCATTGGCATGCCCATACAAATTACTACATAATTACTAGCTTTCACGGCTTACATATAACTTATAGTTTAATCTATTGATCATAATGCTACATACTTACTTTAAAAGCTGTATTGCGGTGTTAAAAGCAGCTTAAGCCGAAAGCTGGCGGACCCATTTCAGGCTCCTACCTGCTACGCCCCTGCACTACCCTATCCCTTTGGTGACTGGCGTACACCTTTTAGGGGTAAAGCCGGAATTCCTCCGCGCCCTAGAACACCGCAAATCCTAAGCTCTATTCTACCATTACTACTTCCAGAGCTCTGATTTTGAAGCTATACAGACAATCATGCCTAGAAATCGTCATTCTACTGATACTGACCATGTCCTACCAGATCCTAAGCCATCAAAGCCAGCGAAACAGCCACCCCCAAAGCTATGCTAATCCCTAAGTACGCGCCCATGAAAATCAACAAACCCTATCGCTTTGGCATAAGCCTTCTACCAAGCCACAATAATCCTTCCTCACCCTACGAAATATTTAGCCTCTTCTTCGACGAGCCAATCCTACAAATCCTCGTCAATCATACAAATAAGTATGCAGAACTGCATCCTACATCAGAAGCCGATGCCCCTAAGCATCGCCCTCGCCCCTGGTATCCTATTACTACGAAAGAGCTAAGGGCCTATTTGGCAACATGGATTTGGATGGGACTGCTCAAGGATACGCCTATTGATACTTTTTGGAATCAGGAGCTGCGCGGTTGGTCAACGAGCGCCTAAATTTTCAAACATATTTCGAAAAATCGGTGGCAACAAATCGATAGGTTCTTCCACATTTCAAAGCCTTCTATGGAGCGAGAACCGCCATTCGATAAATTAGAGCCACTAAGGTCTCACCTGCGCGCGCGTTTCAAACAGTATTGGCGTACTGAGACCCACCTTACAATGGGCCTGCTAATCTGGATGATTGGTGGACTAAGTGGCGCGGATTTTCGAAAACGCAGGTGGTTTATACCACTGGCTTCTTACACATCTTGAAGGATCAGGCAGCACAATCACTATTAGATAATAATGCGTCTTCAACAATGAGAGCGCTTACCGTGCCCAAAGGACCGTTGGAACAATTCAAAACGGCGTTGGAGCAGCTAGAAGCAAAGCTTCGCCCAGCCCATGGAATCAAGAGAGCTGAAAGAGCTATAACATGACCTTTTCGGAAGGAAGACGTGAAGGAGATCCTTGCAAGGATTGAACGTGTGAAGAGCCTCTTCAATATGGCCTTGCAAAATGATCACATGTAAGGTATTCCTTATGGAAAGACGTCCCTAATTCAAGTCTTCACAGGGGAATATCTTGCGCCATCAATGCTGATGTTGCCGAAATACATGATGAACTAAGTAGCGTGAATGAGAGGCTTGCGCAGGCGCAGATCGGTACTCGATTTTTATCTCATGCGCTCATGATGTGATTGCTAACAGAAACAATAGACGAGGAGAGGCGATTCCGGGATTCCCAAAGCAGGGATATCTTAGCTTAGCTGTCCCCACTCGATTTTCGCGCTCAACAGAGTGATATATTTGTAAAACGACAAGACGGAACTGGCCTGTGGCTTTTACAGCTCGATTCATTCAAGACCTGGAAGGACGCTCTTGGTGCGATTCTTCTTTGTCCTGGCATTCAAGGAGTTGGCAAGACTGTGATCGCCTTAACAGTCATCGATCATTTACAACAAACTTTTCCGGAAACAACTATTGGCGTTGCCTGGATGTTTTGCAGCTACAGAGATCGGCCGAACCAGACACCCAGCAATCTTCTTGCCACCTTGTTGCAGGTATTGTTACGAGGAAGAGCACCTATCTCTGCTATTCTCGAAGGCGTATATGAAAGAAGTATCAATTTGGGTGATCGACCGAAGATCGAAGAGATCTTCAACGTACTCCAAATTGAGACTGAAAAATATGATCAAGTATTCTTCGTCATTGGTGCTCTGGATGAGTATGATTGGTCGCTCGAAGCACTCCTCACTCGTCTCCGCACGTAAAGAACTTCAAGAGGTCCTGTGAATATGATGGTGACTTCGCGACCTATTCCTCGAATCGAGAGGGAATTTAAGGATGCTTTGCAAGCAGACATTCGTGCTACTGATCAAGACGTACAAACTTATCTAGACGGACGAATGCACGAATTGGTGAGTCGTATCAAACATCGATCTGACCTGCAAGATATGATCAAACGTGAAATAATTGCTGCTGCGGATGGGATGTGAGTAAGTACAGCTTGCAATAAATCATCAAGCTAATAGGATGTCTGAATTTCTTCTTGCTCAACTCTACTTTGATTCGCTAATCGATAAAACGAGTCCCAAAGCTATTACAAAGACCCTTCAAAACATCCCGAAAGGGGAAGAAGCTTTAGCTTTTGCATATGACGAGGCCATGCTTCGGGTCGACGGCCAAAAGCCAAACTTCCGAGAAATCGCGAAAAACGTGTTTGTCTTGGAATTTCTGAGCCACACGACCACTCAACATTGATGAGCTCAAACACGCCCTTGCTATTGACACAGCAGAGCTAGATTTCGATGCAGAAAACATTCTGGATATAGAAGACCTAGTCTCTGTGTGCGCAGGCTTAGTGACGATCGATCCTGAAAGCAACATTGCCCGCTTGGTGCATTTTACAACACGGACATATTTTGAGAACACTCACCAAAAGTACTTCCCGGAGGCACGAACAAATCTTGCGGCCAGATGCCTATCTTATCTTTCATCGCAGGCCTTCGACTGACATTACTTTTCTGATGAGGAGCTACCCTCTTCTTGACTATGCTGCAAAAATTTGGGGTATCCATGCTCGAGAGGTATAGAATGACGTTCAAGATCTTACGCTCAAGTTCCTCAGGAATGAGACGGACATCTCAAGTTCAGTCCGTATAATGCTAAATCCTAGCGACTACGATAAAATCACCGGCCTGTATTCCCAGTAGGAATGTCAGCAAGCCATCTCTGTGCATATTTTGGTTTGGAAGGAATTCTTAACAGCACACTCGATGAAACCATGGAGAATAGTCTACAAGACAACTACGGCCGCACGCCACTTTCTTGGGCCGCTAAAAATGGCCACGATTCGGTAGTGCAATTGTTGTTGAAGTGGGAAAACGAAAACATAAACTTGAGTGGGACATACCACCCTGTGTTGCCGATTTATCTAGCCAAGGGCGGTAGGACGTCGATACGGGCACGGCAGTTAAAGGGGGACACTGCTAAGATGCGTACAAATGATCGACAGCGTGGCAGGACACCGCTTTCATACGCAGCTAAAAATCGGCATGGGATTATTCTGCGACTTCTGCTGGATCGAGAGGGGCTCGAGGTCAATCCCCAAGATGAGTTTGGCTGGACACCACTTTTTTTTTTGGCAATTCAGCATAAGCATAGAGCGGTAGTACAGCTACTTTTCGAGCACGATAATATTGACGCAGATTTGAAAGATGAGATGGGTCGGAAGCCACTGTCATATGTACGGTCATGTGCGGCCAAGGCAGTGTATCGAGAAATGGTGCAGCTACTGTTACAACGCGACGATGTTGAGACAGACTCTCAAGATGAAAGCGACTGCACACCTTTGTTCCACGCAGCTTGGAACGGTCGTGATAGAATAGTGCAACTTCTACTAACAAAGGACAACATACAGCCGGACCTACAAAATCGTGAGGGTATGACACCGCTAGCACAAGCGGCCATAGAGGGGCATCATGCAGCGGTGAAGCTATTGCTGCAAAGAGATGACATCAACGCTCATCTCAAAGACAATTTCGGTCGGACACCTTTTGTATACCCCATGGCTAATAAAAACCGGACCACAGCACAAGTGCTGTGGTCGCAGGATAGGAACGTACTGGTGGACATGATGCTAGACAAATACGACCTTAGTAGACCAGAATTCGAAGACACATATGGCAAAACGCGTCGAACATCTGCGCAAGACACAGGAATCTTTGAGATCAATGCAAGTCTCGATATTATATATCAGCTACTAGTGGAGCGGGGTAATGCGGAGCCGGATCAGCTATCGTTGGACTTTGGAGGTCCAACGCCGGCCTACGGGGAGCATACCATGAGACTCATAGACATCGATCTTTGAGGATGTATTTGAGGCTCTCTCCTGATGAAGATTTTTGATGATGACTTAGATAATATTGAACCAGGAAAAATTGTCCTGATACTCCTTTTCGTGTCTTCTGTCAGAGCTCAGAGATACGGGAAAGTCTATCACACTCTCTATCAATATAAGAGAATTGGCATACTTGATACAAGAAGGGGAAGTCAAATTCATGTAGTATGATCCACACCGCCTATGAATGAGAACGTCACCGAAAAAAACTTTCTTTCCAACGATTGTCGGCCTTTTATAACAACGTTGCGTCATCAAGACTCTCGCTAGGAGTGCAACCCCTTTTAAACATCTGCACGTTCAGGCTCTCGCTATAACTCGCGATTCCTGAAAACCATACCAAGCCATTAATGTACTTCACACCACCAAACATATACGTGTCGAGCAATCTTATTTCAAGCAACACACCAAGCACTCGACAGGACCGCTTCCATACGGAAATGCAATATAACCTTACTATCACAGAAGAGTGATAAAATTTGGGACTCAGCTTTGGAAGAGTCTAACAAAGTACCCGAGCTCCTGGACGTCGGTTCGCATCATTCGCTAGATTGTCAAGGAGATTCAGCACCTCACCACTTTTCACCACGGTAAGATGTCCACACACTCTATATATATATCACCTTCACCCCGAACTTAGGATCGGTGGTTGCCGTTTTCGATTTGGGAAAGGCAGCAGGGCCGCTTTAAACGGAGCACCGAAGGAGCACGGGGGAGCAGCGAGAGAGTATGGGGGAGTACCGAGGGAGCAGGGGAGAGTAGAACGGGAGCAGGGGGGAGCAAAGAGGAGTAGAGGGACGAAACGGGCTTCAGCGCGGGAGCAAAGCTAGGTTATCTTAGTCAGGGGAAGATCACATGAAATTCCAGTCCGAAGATTCTATATATTCATATACATCCCAGCGAATTCTTCAGAACACCAATCGACACCGACGCAGCGGCTCTGGGCGATTGAGCATTGAGCTTGCGACACCAAACTCCGCCGACCGCCGCAACACGACAGAAGGCGTGCTTCGTCCCAATCCTGATGGCGGAATCCGTCGCGTGTCTCATTCAACACCAGCGTCAGGAGGCTTCCTAGGCACGGACTTCGCACCTATAGAAGTCGCCGAGACAGATACTTAAAATACAAACCTAGACGGCCACGAGCGTCGCGCCATCGTACAGGCCACCAAGGTGTTCTACTTCCGTAACATGGACTTGAAGTCCGGCGATGTTCGCGAGATCACGAACAACAACATCACATCGAACCTATACCGCTTTCGGGGCATTCTCAGGACGTGTGAGGACTGGAGGGTCGGGTACCAGAACAAGATATGGGGAGGCAAATTCTTCCTGGAGTTTGTAAGTTTGGCAAGACCCAAAGAATGCACACGACTGACAAGCGTGCAGGTTGACAAGAATGTCATGGAGTACGAGAGAGGAATTGGGCGTCTTACGCCATACAATGACAAGACTGATGACCAAAAGCTAGCCTTTTCGCTAGACAAGTCAAGATGGTGTTTGGAAGTCGTTCTGGAGCTCTTTTCGTCGTTGAAGTAGGCCGTCAGAATCGCAGATGCTGTCGCCGATCCCACGTGGGTGGTGTACCTACAGACGATATTCTGGCTAGCATGTGACAGCACGTGGACTAACCGGCTGGAATACAAAGCAGCGGCGGACATCAAATACCAAGACAGGCTGCAAATTTATGAGGACATACGCTCGGCACTAGCGATGTACTTTCATCCTAAAATTAGGAACTGCGCTGCGATTCCGCTCTTACCAGTGCCTAACAAGACTCAATAGACTTTACCATTGAGAAGCGGTATGCTATTTCTGCAGATGTCTCTGATCAAATCCAAGGTTTGTGCTCTCCAAGCCCCCTATGCGGACCCCAGCTGATGGCATCCAGATTGAGATTTGTCAACTATAAGGGACATCAAAGTCCTGGCGAATAAAAGTCTAGGGTATCCTATCCGACTGCATGCCAAAGAGCCAGCACTTGGAGCCTGGAACATGGTCCATCGTGCTTATATAGAGCAGAGAATCATCTACCTTTTGCTTCCCTTGACCACAGATATCTTCCACTTTCTGCTTTGTTTGGGCTAGAAATCTTCACCTTTTGCCCATCTTATGCAGAAAGCTCTCCACTCTACGCTCCTATGTAATAATGACTCTCTCAAACTTTGCTGCTTTCCAGTTCTAAAAAATATATCATCATCTTGAATGGAGGAAAGCAAATCGTTTCAGGCGTGCCGTTCCCGTCCTTCACTTGCTTAGGCTTATATAAATTCAAAGAAGCCACTATGCTAATGTTTGCATATTTAAATATATATGTATACATCTTCCATGGCCAAGCTCATGCGAGACAACCAATCAGTGACCAAGAAGCGCAATTCGGTGCCCATCGACCCCCACTCGACTAACGTCACATCGAGTCCGCAACTGCCATCTTTGGAATGGACTCCAGAAGCAAAGGCAGCATGCGCTCGCGAGGCCGGACGTGCTAGATCTGGTGAATCTCTGGCAGATGTGGACAAGGATCGCGACGGACGAATCAAATGTCCGGCAAAGGACTGCTGCGACAATACGTTCCCTGACGCCGACGCTCTGCTCGTCCATCTGGGTAAGTCAATCAAGCAACAGACCACCACCTCGCCGGTATCTTGCATGCTGTGTAACTTCAAATCGTGCTCTAGTAGGGACAAGAAAGTGATGCTAGCGTATCTGGAGAAACATTTCGAAGGCACTTATCCCTGTCGATTTGACGGCTGTCCATGGCTTGGCAGGACTCAAGACGATGCAAACCGACACTTTAATTACGCGCACAAGGCAATGGCCAAGCCCAAGACTAAAGTCCAATGCGACGAGTGCGTTGAGGTCTTCGCTAGCGGGGGAAGCTTGAAGCCGCACAAAGAGAGATTCCACTCGACACCAACGATGGCCAAATGCGAGAATTGTGTGAGCGAAGTCAAGGAGGTAAACCTCAAGGATTACCAGCGAAGTGTTTGTATGAAGAGACCCGCACTCTGTCCTCATCCGAACTGTGGCTACGTTGTGAAATCACCTCACCACATGGGGCTACATATGCGCAGGGCCCATGCTCGTGCTAACGAAATCCAAGCCTTCGCGGATGCCGCAGGCATCTCTCTAGAATAGGAAGAAGAAGAAGCAAAGAAAGAAGAGAGGAAACAGAAAGAGGGGAAAGAAGAGACGAGTGTCAAAGTCAAGTTGGAACCCCTAGACCAGCAGCTTATCGAGGCCGTCGATTCTTTGGGAACTCACACAGGACTAACCACCCCTCCACCTGGACCTCCGAGTCGTTTGGTCTCTCCGACGACGACGACGACGACGACGACGACGACTTCTGGAAGCCTATACCTGATCCATCGCTTGCGGCGGAAGGAGATAAGCAAATGCTGACGGCTGCGCCTACCATCAAAAATAAGAAACGCCAGATTACACTCTTTGGAGAGCCTCTACCGGACGGACCTGTCAACAAGAGGCGCCACTAGAGGAGATGCGGGGAAAGGAGCTCGGAGATCTGTTGTATCAAATTTGATGTATGCTTTGCTATATGTCGCTATTTGATATCACCGCCATTTATGCTACGATTGCTATCTCCGAGCAGATTGCACTCAATCTGATACAGGTATAAAGGGGTTTGGGGTGCATTTAGCTTTTGCTGTGATTATATAGCTTCTAAACTGGAAAACAGTCCAATTCAACAGCAAAACCAACACTTTACTCGCTCTCACCGTATATGTGCAACCAATCTTGCCCTCTCAAGATCAATACCAAAGACTGTAACGCAATGCAGCCTTTAAAGAGGTTGTGACTTTACTATAAAGCATTTAGGCTGTGCATTGAATGTGGAATGGGGCATCTCAGCAATGAATAGGCTATTGTCGAGCCATTGCATGTAGACCATGTTGGACATGAAGAAAAGACCGCGGTCTGGGTCCGTAGTAAGGCAGTGTCATAATTAGGGATGCAAAGCAGAGTCAGGGTGAAAGGCTAATTGTGAGGATGTCACTAAGATTTAAAAACTTCATTATTAGGAATAAAAGACTCTCTCCCATCGACCAAACAGTTGCAAACAACTGGGCTCCGAACTGGTCTAGTGGTTAGGATATTCGCCTCTCATTATTGAGAGACATAGTGCGCGAATGGCCGTAGATCTCACTATCTCCCCAACTTGAAATCCATTTAACTAACATGCTTTAGGGGGTTCGATTCCCCGGTTCGGAAACGTCTTTTTTTGGCTGCTCCAGCATGCCATTTGCTTTTTTGCTGCTCCAGCATGCTATTTTATTTGGCTGGAGAGAGTAATGGTATTTTTCCGAGGAACACTGCTTCCGGACTATCTAGCAGCTCCTCCGATAAGGAAGATTTGAGCTACAAAGATGTAGTGTCTCCCTTAATTAACAATTTTACAGTCGAAAGTTTCTTGATCAAACCTACAGGTGCTGGGTTACAAGGCAATAAACGAAGTGGGCGTGCTGATTGGGAGTCATGATCGCTTGACCGATATTTTAGCGCTCCCGAAGATTAGCCGCTGGAGATAGGTGCGAGGCACCAGCATGGGACATACATCCTCTTGTGCTGTGACGGTACTACCTACTTTACGCTTGACAGGGGAATCTCAGTGGAGGTCTAATATAACAGTACCAACCTCTTTGGAGGCGCCATGACACTTGATCTTCCCTCTGGGTTTCAGAGCATACATTCTCCTAACACGACTTCAATCCAAGAAGGCCAAACCTTCTCGACGAAAGATGCGCAACATGGCAGAGATTGGTTTAATAATGCAATAAAAATCGACGTTAATTTACACAAAGGTCTGGAGAAAATGCCAAACGACCAAAAAGCTGTCAGATGGCATCTCGCCGACATTGCAGCCTACGAGTACAAGGCGGGCGAGAAGCCCCAAACGAAAGCCTATAAGCGAGAGATACAAAAGCTTCCTGGGATTCCAACCTACGAGCGATCTGCTAAACGCGACTCGTCAGACCCCAATCTCGTGATGGGGGCCTAGCATCGACCAATATTGCTTAGAAACTTTTTCTTTGTCACCTTTGTTCGTTTCGAAGCACAGAGGGTCGACTTCGTTGCAGGCTGTTGGAGAAATGCTTACGACTACAGTAATGAGGACCCTGGGTGGTTGGAAAATGAGGACGGCAGTCAGGAGGTCAGAGCTTCTTACAATATTCTCACAAAAAGTTGCAAATTTCAGAAGAGCATTATGGAGAATCCGGAAATCAGAGATTTGACCGTGCTCGATCAGATAACAGCAGATTAACGTGGGGCATGACAGAGTTCCCCTGTAGTCACATGGAGGCGTCGCACTATCAGAAGATTACAGGCTTTGGCTATTCCAGTAGGGAAAAGCCTGAATTCGATATCAGAGCACCTGCATACTATTAAGGTGAAATTTCTTACAGTTGATGAGCGTCGCACTGCGGAGCCAAAGCCCTTTCGTGCAGAAGAAGATCCTTTTCTTGGCCGATTCGCAGCCTCGAAGCTGCGGACCGAAAACCTCGAGTGCGTTGAGTAAGCATCTGTTCATGAAGGTGTAGAAGGCTAAGAGTACGATCAAGGATCAGTCTATGGATATTTTGACAAACAACTTCTCTCCTGTTCTAACATTATTTACTATCTCCCAGACACTGCCGATCCAAATTATACAACGCCTCACGAAGCTTACTCTGCAACTCCACTTGAATGCCAACTACCTCGGCTTCAGACAAGCCTATCTTCTGCGCCCCTTTGACGACGTGGGCTCCCACTGTCGTGTGGGCTCTGGTGAGTTTCGCTCTCCTCTTGTGATAACACTCCTGACAATATGGCCGTTCTTCTACCGGAACTTTCTCCATCGATTCGCCATCCCAAGGTTCGCACGGCTCATACCAGGTGAAGTCTTCACAGCGCTCAATGAGCGAGTACTGGTACAGGTGTCCACACTTCGAAAATACCCGAGCTTTGATATTGCACATTGTTGGTGATGGTCTTGTTGCTCATTTGCTCATGTGGTAGGTTGATACTGCATAATCATGAGAGTCCATGTCAAGCCGAGGCATTATGTAGGGACAGCCACCTCTCATCTGCTTTGTGGGAAACAATGGCTTTGTGGGGGCAAAGATTTCTTTGTCACCTCAGACTGTTTGTCTCTTATACAATGCAAAGTCACAACATAGTCTTCTAAAACCCCTACGTCACGGATTTCTCACAACATCTGGAGCGACAATTGATACAATGCATGCTTTTTCAACGTGTCAACAACAGATCGTTCGGAAACGTTTAACAGCGGGCAGTGAATCGGCCAGGCAGTCTGAGCAAAAACCATAGCATTGTTACCTCTCATAATGTCATAAGTGACGCACTCTTTAGTGTTGAGCAATAATCATCATAACGCTTACTCTCTCAAGGCTGCAAATGACGCATTTTCGAGGAAAATTGGATGATGAACAGTAAATTGACTGGGTAATTTAAGCAACAAGAATGACATTGCCCGCTCTTCTAACGTTCGAAAAGTACAACAGACATGATAAGTCAACCAACAAATATCAGGCTCCTAGCTTTTACAAGCTTGAGTATGGCACAATATCTGGGTACATTGAGCTAGCAAATTGTTTATTCTATGCTCTTTCAAGCTTTCGAAGAGTGTAAATCTTATTGGAGCAGCTACCGGTCAGCTCGCTGCTCTTGTGAACCCCGCAACGAACACGATAGAGCGGTAAGTCAATCAACAGAAAGCGTGCTTTCAAGCCTAGAGGAGATACAATCTTATTGTATTTTGAGCAGCTTGTAGCCACTTCCGTGCTCTTCGAACCCTCGAAACGCACAATTATTCAGATGAGTCAAGCCAAAATATTTTACTTCTATCTCTTACAAGCTTCGAAGTGACACATGATTTCGGCACACTGAATCGGAACGGGCGTAATATCCATTAGTTTTGAGCAGCTATTGATCAATTTCCTGCACTTCTGGAGTCTGGACATGCACAATCAACCAGTTGAGTCAAGCAAGAATATTGCATTTTCAGCTCCTGCGAGCCTTGAACTGACATAGTCTCTCGGTACCTTGAATCGCTACCGCCACAATTTATGCTCCTCCAGATTCCCTATCAGCACACATTGCTGGATCTTTGCCCTTCCAAACACACAACACCCGCTCTCACACACTGCCACACATTCAATCTTGTAATAGCATCCCTCTTTTGGACAACATAACGATCTTGAATCGCCATGATGGATGTGATCGGCTGATCCTCTGCAATAGCCTGTTTAATTTCTTCAAGTTCCTTCTTTTCCAAGTACCTTCGGATATGGATGTAGCACTCGAGATAGTGGTTTGCGCAGTAAGGTTTTCCGTCATATTCGTATTCGGTGCACTGTGTGCCGAAGCTGCAGCTTGTTCGTCCGTTGGTTTCAATTCGTGAGCTGGCGCAGCGGTTTGCGATTATTTCGACGGCTACGCAGCGGCATACGGAGTGGAGGAAGGTGTTTAGTTGACACCTGCAGAATAGAAGTCAGCATCATGGACAGATCGGGAGGTTATAGACCCAGGAGTTGCACTTACATTAATGGATGGAGAAGTCCGGAGACGTGAATGTCGATGGTGGATAGCCTGAATCTGAGGTGTGGTGATCCGGGATGGAGCTGTCAAAGAACAGATTTTTCCCAATGGGTTTTGCCTCATCATCACGCACCGGCGATGACCTTGGCCTTGGGCACCGGCTTAACATCGGTGTTGACAATACAATAAGCTCTCATCTGCAAGCCCAAGGAATCGTGTGTCAAAGACTTCACAAAGCATAGAAGAGCCGCATTGTCATCGACAATGGATGCTCCCCAGTCAAAGCCTCAAGCTATCTCTGCACAATGCGATTCAGCTCTCTTTGTTCCTCTATGACGGGACATAGTATTTATTTTCTCCAGATACCCTGCTTCAAGTCCTTCCTTTCTCTCCATCGTTAGATCATCCATCCTTGAGTCCAGAAGCTCACTTCCTACCCACCAGAAGTAGCAACAGCATAGCTCACTGACTCACTGAATCACTCACAAGCTCACAGACCCACAGCAACCATGCATAGACCTAACCGTCCAACCCTCTCACCCCTCACTATCCCAGTACCACACATCTCCCCAGAAACCTCGGCCATGGGAGCCACCCACGTCCCAGGTTCATACCAAAACAAACCCTTCCCAGCCATGAGACCCATTGGCTTCCGCACCGGCCACGCAGCCCGTGCAGCAGCACGCCTCCCCCACACCCCCGACATAGTCGACGGGATAACAACCTCACCTACAAACCTCCCCTCACCAGCCCTGCCTCGCCCCAAAACCCCAGAAGCAGTCGACAACATCCCCCTGACACCTCCCTCCCAATACCTCCGTCCCGCCCCACCAGCACGCCAACCTTGGAATCCTGCCGATCCTAACCCAGATTGGTGGGCGAAGCCAGTGCACGGCCAGCGCTTCGTACGGGATAAGCAGCGGAGGGGTCAGAACACGCGGGGGCAGGATCTCGAGAACCAAGCTACGCTCCAAGCTGTGAAGGAGAGTAGGGGAGATAAGTGGTATCTTCCGCCTAGGAAAACGAAGTTGGTACTTTGGAGCGCTGCGCTTGTGGTGTGCGTTGTAGTTGTTGCTGTGGCGTTTACGGCGGCGCATTTTGCTTCGCATGTGGGCTAAACAGTGTGAGTTGGCTTTGGTGAAGTGGGTTATCGGAGGTTAGTTGTAGGATCTGCTGATTTCAGAGCCTGTGTGGACTGAAAAGCCCAGAGACTTATTGCGGTGTGGTCTGTATGATATCGGGGGGAGACAAGTTCCAATGTTGATGTGTAAGGTAATGGCAGGAGGTAGCAATCTAACCTATGTCGGAATAAAAGTCCCCCGGATCTTGAACATTGCAAGTTCCATTTCATGACATCTCAGATTTACGTTGGTCCACTATTCGTGAAAGTAAGTAGGAAATTGTCATTGAACGTACTGGCAAATAGCATGTAGAGTGTGGAGTGTCTTTCATACCCGGAGCGCCGCGCTCCATCTATTGACTCTTATCTGTTGTCCGTAGCCAACCGAATATGCAAGGTATAAAGTATGGTACAAATGTACAGAAGAGAAAAGTAGAAGGTCACAACGCTATGACAGGGCCGTATTTTGGAACAAGAGAAAACGGGACGGCCAGCGCTCACCGACTAAACCTGCTTTCTCGTCCCCCTTCCCGTCCTCCTTCTCGTCCACCAA